GAGCTCTGGCGTGGGCTGGTCCATGAGGTCATGAAGAGTCGGAGACGACTGAACGAATGAACAACAACAAAGCTGGAACCACAAAAGAATTGGCAGCCAGTGCTCCACATTTCATGCCAACTTGAGATCTAGCCAGATTTAAGAATTGGGAACCTAGAAAGTTGTGAATAGCCCCAGATTATGATTGTGGATGGCATGGTTTTCATAGTGAATGTAATGTTTTAAAATGTTTTAATGTGCATTAATTCTAATTTTAATTTAAATGTTTATTTTAATTGTATGTTTTTTAAGGCATTGAATAGTTGCCTATATATAAAGCCTCCTTGAGTCCCCTTCAGGTTTAAGGGGTAAATAAATAAATTTACCATAAATAGGGTAAATAAATAAATAAAGCCAAACTGACTGAATGCTTGTTCTATAAACATGTTTCTCACCCTAAAAGCACTAGAAAGAAATCTTTTACCCAGATGTGGTGTCCTGGGGTCTATGTCTCTGACTTGCAATAACTGTTAGATGAAATTATCACAAAACCTTCTCTATGAGATTTATTCAGTGGTGTGCCATTGCCTTCCTCTGCGACCGAGAAAGTGTGTCATGGCCAGGGGTCACACAGTAGATTTTCATGTATGACTAGGGATTTGAAACCTGATCTCCCAGACTTGTATACCAGCACTAAAACTAAACAACATTGACTCTCAGTGTAGATTGTTGTTCTTTAGACATAGACAATTAATTAGTCTCTTAACCAGTGTCCAGCATGCTCACAAAATTACAGCCCAACTCTTAGCATTGTTCAAATAAAGTGGTTTAAATCTGTGTTGTAAACAAATTCAGATAAATTGGGCACCCTGACTGTAAAATGCTTCGCTTCCAAGCAGAATATGGTACAATTTGCATTTAGCATGGTATGCAAGGTGCTTGTTATACTACCTAGTGTCTGGATATAGTTATAGTGTGTTGGCATTCAAACACGAGGCTTGTGGCTTCCTGACAGAATACATCTGTAGAAATCTTTTGCATCTGTTGTGGGTAAACAAAATTTCTTCAGTTTAAATAATATTTTCCTTATTCTTGATGGAACTTTTAAAGAAAAAATAACTGTTAATGTTGATAGACTTGTTCTGCATTGTTCATTTAATCAAGATAGAGAAAAATAGAAATGGTTATGGGGCAGCTGAAAGACAAATTACTTTATTGCCCTTTCCTGTGGACTCTGGGAAAGTAAATTGCTGCAGCCACTCCTAACTTGCATTCTGCTCTTCATTAATAATGCTGACCACACTGTGATGTTGCTTGACCACATCTGTTCCTGTTTTTATCTGTGAAACATTAAAATGTGTGCATCTCAGTTCATCACATGCAAAGTTTTACCCCCTGAATTACCAGAGCCTACAGATATATCGCTAGATATGATATCGATATGAGTGAGCAACATATATGTCAATAGATATAATATGGATATGAGCAAGAATATAAACAGAGAAATCAGAAGGAATCAAAATGTAAATATTGTTTAGCAGATCTTAAAAGTATATTTCCTTTTTATTATCTAATTTAGAACTTTTTATAATATAGACCAAAGGGGAAGACTGTTCCTATCAAAGACCAATGTGTAACAGTTGTGAGAATTTAGATATGCAAAGGTTTTATAATTTAGTTACACAGAAGGGTTCCCAGGTTTGAAAAGCTGACATAACCCCTCCCTTTAAAAAAATATACATATCATCCAGTGATGTCTACAACAACAACAACATTTATTATGATCCATAGACTCATCCATGAACAAACAGTCATTTATAAGTTCTCCCATCTCAAGAGAAGTTCATTGTACCAGATACATCTACATGCCTAGGTAAACATCCCCAAAATCCCCTTTGGCAGGAAAATTTACCTTCTGAACAATACATGGATAAGATGAAGAAAGCTATGTAATTCCTTGCATTCATTTCCGCATGTCCTACATATGAGATCAGAAGGTGCCCTCTACTGATTCTACGAAGAAGTGCAACCACTGATCCATTGAAAGATTGTTTTGCAGGATTTTATTTGATTATTAACTCATCTAGAACCAATGTTTTCCTAAAATTTTGCTGTGAGTCTATGAAGGAACATAACATCCACATTCATTACTGTTTCTTGTCATCCCATCCCAATATGTCAAGAGTGGGAGTCACATAACTCTTTGGACAATATTGATCTATGCTGGTTACAATAGTTGAGAACTGCAGTTGAACAACAATGGAGATCTGCACAGTGTCCCCCCTCCCCACCAATGCACTGCGATAATTGTCTAAAGCAAATTGGAGAAGCTTTGGCTTTATAAATGTTCTGGACTACAACTCCCATTCTCCCTTACCATTTGCTCGGCTGACTGGGCTTCCAAGTTGATGTCCAACAACACCTGGAAAGCCAAAGGTTTCTCATTTAGGTTTCAGTCCTAATGTATTGTTGTTGTTGTTACGTTCCTTCAGGTTGATTCCAACTGCCCACAGGTAAGATGGAGAAGTGTTCATTATACTGTGTTTCAAACTGTGTTTAGGCTTTACATTGTGGCCAGGGCCTAGCTGAGAGAGAGATAGGTTGCCATGGTGACAAGCCAGAGGAGGTGGGCGGAGCTTAGGTAAAAAAGGTTTGAAAGCGACAGTTTATTGTCAGTCAGGCGGATGAGACCCTGAGGAGAGGAGCAGAGTCAAGGAGGCTCTGTGGAGTGGTGTAGATTCAGTTAGTTCTTGGGTTTTGTGAATATTATTCCAGCTAGGAAGCTGAAGGTGGAAACTCGTTAGATTGCTTGAGTAGAAAAGAATCTAACAAGAAAGGGTTTCAGGGATCCCAGTGGTGAAAATCTGGAGATCGTTGGTTTGATCCGGTGAAGGACAAACAGTTGTAAATATTCACAATAGGGAACACTGAAATAATAAAGTACCTCACTGTAGAAAGAGTTAAAGGATTGTAACATCGGAAGACTTAATGTAACTCAACCAAGCCATTTTGTATCCATCAAGCTTGTGTCAAGTTCAACAGTTTAATTTTGCAACAATTTACGCTCTGATAACAATAAACCTGTTCTTTTTGTGTTTTAAACTTGCCTCCTTCACTGATTTCCACGTTTGAAGCATTCCACACTACCCAAGGTGCCTCACAACACAGATAAGGATAACCAGAGATCATTTTTACCAATATCACTTATATTATGGTGGCAATTTGAGCTAGAAGTCTCAAATCTTTATTACATCTGTGTGGTGATCCTATTTATTTGGGATTTTACACCATTATTTCATTTTGGAGACTTCCTCACATATTTTGGTGGCAGCAAGTGAACGGTTTTAAATTTTTAGTAACAAGCGGTGGGAGTCACGGCTTCGCAGGTAGGTACTGGGATTTATATGTATTGTCAAAGGTTTTCATGGCCGGAATCACTGGGTTGTTGTAGGTTTTTTTGGGCTATATGATATCACTATATATAGGTTGAGGGAGGGGGGCGCGTGGCCAGAGGGAGTCTAAACGGTCATTTTACTTTTCAAAGGGTTCCGATCGCTGAACTGCGCAGGCGCAGAGTTACCATATGTGCGATTCACAGGATTTACGACAGGAAACTACAGTTACAGGTAAGCAACTTATAACTATATGGCCATGCCCTAGAGGCATTCTCTCCTGACGTTTCGCCTGCATCTATGGCAAGCATCCTCAGAGGTTGCTTGCCATAGATGCAGGCGAAATGTCAGGAGAGAATGCCTCTAGAACATGGCCATATAGCCCGAAAAAACCTACAACAACCTACTAGGATGTATAATTCACCTGCAATCAAAGAGCACTCTGAACACCACCAAAAAGGGAATTGGACCAAACTTGGCACAGAGATGCTGGAGATTTTTGGAGAAATTCACCTTGATTTGGGGGAGTTGTAGTTCACCTACATCTAGAGAGCACTGTGGATCTGGAGCAAACTTGGCACACACCTGCTATGCCAAAATCTGATTACTGGAGGGGTTTGGGGGGATGGGGGACCAATCTTCCTTTCTGGGAGTTGTAGTTCACCCACAATCAGAAAAACTGTGACCTCCACTGATGATGGATGTGGACCAAACTTGGCACACAGAATCCCTATGACAAATGCAACCTACTGGAGGGTTTTGAGGGGACTGACTCACTCTAGTGGGAGTTGTAGTTTACCCTTCAGCCAGAAAGCACAGTGAACCCCACCGATGATGCATCCAGAGCAAACTTGCCCAACACAACACACTTTAAGTATTGATGGGAGTTTCTCAGGGTTCACCTGGTGTGGTGTGATTTGTAGTTCACTCACAACCTTATGCATTTTGTACAGTTTTCTTTAAATGATTTTTTTTTTCAAATAACCTGGGCAACATCAGTTACCCAAGCTAGTGTTTCATTTAAAAATCGAGCAGGCAGGGGCAAGCTTGGACTTGGACTCCCACCATTCCTAACAGCCTAGGAATCTGTGGGAGAGCGTGGGTGCGATGAAGCCGGGCAGGGCAGGCGGGTGGCGGGAATGGGTCCGTACCTTGACTCGCTCGTAGTAACTGCCGGAGCTGAAGAACTCGACGGCCTTGAAGCAGGGCGCCTTCCTGACGGCAGACAGGAGCCGGTCCCGGAGCCGGTTGACCTGCTCGGCGGCCTCGCTGCGCGCCTCCTTGCTCAGGCGGAGCCTCTCCAGCACCCGGCGGAGGACGGGAAGGAGAGCCCAAGGAGGAGCGGGAGGCGCCTCGGCCCTCGACGCCGCCTCCCCTTCTTCCTTGGCTCGGGAAGGGCGCTTCTTCTCGGGCGCCTCCTCCTCCTCGCCGCCGCCCACCTTCTCCTTCGGGCCCTCGCCTCCCTTCCTCCCCTTCGGCCCTTCTGCAGCCCGCGCCGTCGGGGCCGCGGTTACCTCCTCTTTCTCCATCCCTTTCTCCTCCATGCCGCCCACACCGCCCACCTTCTCCTTCTGGCTCTCGCCTCCCTTCCTCCCCTTCGGCCCTTGTGTGGCTCCCTTCGCCGCCCTTTCCATCGGGGTCGCTTCTTCCTCCTTCTCCTTCCCGCTCTTCTCCACCCCCTTCTCCTGGCCCTCGCCTCGCTTCCTCCCCTTCGGCCCTTGTGTGGCTCCCTTCGCCGCCCTCCCCGTCTGGGCCGCTTCCTCTTCCTCCTCCTTCCCGCTCTTCTCCATCCCCTTCTCCTCGCCTCCCTTCCCCCTCTTCGGCCCTTCTGGGGCTCCCTTCACCGCCTTCGCCGCCCTCTCTGTCGGGGCCACTTCTCCCTCCTTCTTCCCGCTCTTCTCCATCCCCTTCTTCTGTTCCTCGCCTCCCTTCCCCCTCTTCGGCCCTTCTGGGGCTCCCTTCGCCGTCCTCCCCGTCGGGGCCGCTTCTTCCTTCTTCTTCTTCTTCTTCTCCATCGCCTTCTCCTCGCCGCCACCAATGCTGCCCTTCTTCTGGCCCTCGCTTCCCTTCCTCCCCTTCGGCCCTTGTGCCGCTCTCTCCATCGGGGCCGCTTCTTCCTCCTTCTCCTCCTCCTCCTTCTTCCCGCTCTTCTCCATCCCCTTCTCCTTGCCGCCGCCCTTCTTCTCCTTCTGGCCCTCGCCTTGCTTCCTCCCCTTCGGCCCTTGTGTGGCTCCCTTCGCCGCCCCTGCTGCCCTTTCCGTCGGGGCCGCTTTCTCCTCCTCCTTCTCCTCCTCCTTCACCCCGCTCTTCCTCCTTCTCCCGGCGGCGCCTGGCTCCATGGCTTCGCTTCCCGCCAGGAAAATCAAAGCCCGGGGACGCGACGCCGGAGCCCAGCGAAATCGGAACGCCTCCGAAGGGGCCGGGATCCGGGTTAGCTGGGGTTTGGCCTCCCGAGAAACGAAACCGTAAGTGAGGAGCTCGGCTTTCCTTTTGGGGAGGAGGGCCTTCCCTGGCCCTGGCCACCCTCCGGCAATACAATACACGCCCCCGCTTTGAGCTTCCCCACTTTCACCTGCCAACCTCGAGGAAGGTAAGGCAGGCAGGGGCAAACCTCGGCCCTCCCGGTGTTTTGGACTGCCACTCCCACCATTCCTAACCGCCCATACGTCCCCCCCCCCCCCATTGAAGGCTTTCATGACCGGAATCACTGGGTTGCTGTGAGTTTTCCGGGCTATATGGCTATGTTCCAGAAGCATTCTCTCCTGATATTTCGCCCACATCTATGGTAGGCATCCTCAGAGGTTGTGAGGTCTGTTGGAAACTAGGAAATTTGGGTTTATATATCTGTGCAATGTCCAGGGTGGGAGAAAGAACGCTTGTCTGCTTGAGGCAAGCGTAAATGTTGCAATTGGCCACCTTAATCAAGACATTTAATGGCCTTGTAGCTTCAAGGTCTGGCTGGTTGCTGTCTGGAAGAATCTTTTGTTGAGAGATCGTTTGGGGAGGCCTGGCTCTCAACTCCACCTGCATCAGAAATACATTTGGTGGGGATGAGAGACAGGGCCTTCTCCATGGTGGCCCCTCAGCTATAAAACCTGGCTGTTTGAGCAGGTGTTTGAAAAGGCAGTGTAAAAGACATATTGTGGAACAATTAGATGATGAGATCAGATTACATTTTTATCAAGGAAACGAAAATGATTTGTTTTTACTAACTGTTATGGTCTTATATGATATGTCAATGTTTTTAAATGTTTTAAATGTTTTAATGATGTTGTTGGCATTGTATTGTTGCCTTGTGAACCACTTCGAGTCACCTGCAGGCTGAGAGGGGTGGTATATAAATATAGCAAATAAATAAATAAATTGGGAGGTGTTAGCTGGCCCTGATTGATACTTGTCTGGAATTCCCCTGTTTTTGAGCATTCACAGGCACTCCCTGCTCAACTCCTGAGATATCTTTGATTTTGATGGCTCATTAGTACAAGCTGAAGTGTCCTTTATCCAAAATGTTTGGGACCAGATTTTTTTAAAAAAAAATTGTACATTTTGCATTAGCAATATTTGACTATATATATAATAATGACATGCCTTGAAGATGGGACCCAAATCTCCACCCAGCCTGAAGGTAGATTTAGACACAATGTTTTAAATCACTTTGTTCATGAAATAAAGTTTGGACACACTGAATGATTAGGAACCAAAAGTATTGCTACAGCCACCTATTTGAATGAATGTGGATTATGACGTATATTCGATTTTTGGCATTTGGGACAAGAGACGCTCAACCTCTAATGACATGCCACTTTTCTGCTTACAGCACAGGGAATAAATTCTGATTTTCATTAAGCAAAAGTAAAAAAAAATCACTATTGAAATCTTCCACACCTGCCTTTGTTTACCATTTTGCCCGTTTTTCCCCATGTCAGGAGCAACTGGAGAAACTGCAAGTCACTTCTGGTGTGAGATAATTGGCCATTTGCAAGGACATTGCTCAGGGGCTGCCTGGATGTTTTGATATTTTACCATCCTTGTGGGAAGCTTCCCTCATGTCCTCGCATGGGAATCTGGATCTGACAGATGGAGCTCATCTGCGCTCTCCGTGGATTTGAACCTCTCACCTGTTGGTCTTCATTCCTGCCAGCACAAGGGTTTAACCCACTGTGCCAATGGGGACTCAGTGACCCGCATAGGAAGCTGGAGCTAACAGATGGGAGCTCACCTTGCTCCCTGGATTTGAACCGCCAGCACAAGGGTTTAACCCACTGCACCACTGGGGGCTCCATTTTGCCCAGTGACTTAACCCAAAGATGAAACAATTGAAAGCACGCACTTTTTTCTAGTACTTTCGTCAAAACTAAGGGTGCATCTACACTACGGAATCCATGCACTTTAACTTCCATGGCTTAATGCTATAATGAAGAGCCCCCGGTGGCATAATGGGTTAAACCCTTGTGCCGGCAGGACTGAAGACTGACAGGTCAGAGATTCAAATCTGGGGAGAGCGCAGATGAGATCCCTCTGTCAGCTCCACCTCGTCATGGGGGACATGAGAGAAGCCTCCCACAAGGATGGTAAAACATCAAAACATCCTGGTGTCCCCTGGGTAACGTCATTACAGACGGCCAATTCTCTCACACCAGAAGCAACTTGCAGTTTCTCAAGTTGCTCCTGACACAAAAATAAATGTTACAGAATGACGGGAGCTGCAGTTTTGCAAGGTCTTCGGTCTCTGCTAAAGAGTGTAGACACCTCACCCTACTACAAATCCCAGGAATACATTGCATTGAGCCATGGCAGTTAAATTGGTGCCAAACTGCATTAATTCCAGAGTGTACAAGTTGCACTCCCAAGTTTTTGTTAAAATGCCTTTTTACATTACATGCGTAATCAAAAAGTTGAATACTTCCTGCCCAAAAGGCAAGCCTGGTCTCAACAATTTGAGGAGGCATGGCATGGATTGCATAAGCAAGGGAGCATTTCCCATCCGCCAGGAAACCCTGCAGAATACATCTTAAATCATGCAAAAATAGAAAGTAAACATAATAAAATATATTGGAACATTAATTTTAAAACCATTTTGAAGAGTGATTATGGGAGTGATGGGCCCCCTGGGTTGTCCTTGTAGGGCTCCAGTAAGGAAATCTAAACACAACTCCTACCACTAGGAAAGCTGCTGGAGTTGGGAGTGCTTGGGCAAATGGTTGACAGGAATTCAACATGTATGTTTCCCCTTCCTGCCTGAGTTCTCAGCTTCTAGTGGTATATCTACACCAGGCATGGGCAAATTTGCCCCCCCCCCCCCGGCTGTTAGGAATGGTGGGAGTTGAAGTCCAAAACACCTGGAGGGCCCAAGTTTGCCCATGCCTGATCTACACTGTAGAATGAATGCAGTCTGACACCACTTTAACTGCCATGGCTCAATACTATGGAATCGTGGAGGTTTTATTTTGGTGCTGCACCAGCACTCAGAAAGCTAAAGGCCTAACTCCATGGCACTGAGCCAGGGCAGTTGAAGTGGTGTCAAACTGCATTCATTCTACAGTGTAGATGCACCCTAGATTCCAGCCTTCCTTGGGTGCTTCACCTTTGAGGAAACCATGACACCTGTAGCTGCAATTAAAGCACAAACTAAAAAAAAGGAACGACAGGTTATTGAAATAGATGTGTTCCTCCTACAACAGAAAATCTGGTATAAACATGTAAACAATAGGGATGGGTTTCTACGGAACAAAAAATAAAAGTAGTTCAACATTTTCAAGTTTTTATTCGCAAGTAACGGAAAGTACGTATTGTTATGTACTTATGTGAAAAAGATCCCCATGGACAAGAAGTTAAACATGAGCCAAAAATGTCATTCAGTGGCAAAAAAAAAAGCCAATGTGATCTTGGCCTGCATCAATAGGAGTATAGTGTCTAGATCCCGGGAAGTCATGCCACCCCTTTATTCTGCCTTGGTCAGACCACACCTGGAATACTGTGTCCAATTCTGGGCACCACAATTGAAGGGAGATGTTCACAAGCGGGAATGTGTCCAGAGGAGGGTGACTAACAAGATAAAGGGTCTGGAGAACAAGCCTTATGAGGAGTGGCTTAAAGAGCTGGGCATGTTTAGCCTGCAGAGAAGGCTGAGAGGAGACATGTTCCAAAACCTCAAAACCTCTGAGGATGCAGGCAAAACATTAGGAGAGAATGCTTCTGGAACATGGCCACACAACTCAAAAAACTCACAACAACCCAACATTCTCACCCTTCTAAAGACTGTTTGACAGTTTCTTCCCAGGTGCATCTAGGGATTGCCATTTGTTTCTTTCATCAGACTTTGTTTTTATTATGCTTTCTATTTTGGTGGCCCAACATAAACTCATGCTTTTTTAATCTTCTGGTGGGAAGTAGTGAGGACAGTGCTGTGATTTCCATTTGCAGTTCTTTCATGTTTAGTAAAGTATTTAGGGCACAGTTCCAGTTTACCACTCAGATGCAAGTAATCATGGAATTTTGTAGTTTGGCGAAGCACCAGCACTCTTTGGCAGAGAAGGCTACAGTCCTTGGAACATGACAACATCTATAGTATTGAGCCATGGCAGTTAAAGTGGTGTCAAACTGCATTAATTCTACATTATAAATTGCACCTTAAGGTATGCCTGTACTTTCCTTTCCAGAAATGACCATGATGAGGACCATATATAAATATGTGAGAGGAAGCCATAGGGAGGAGGGAGCAAGCTTGTTTTCCGCTGCCCTGGAGACTAGAACGTGGAACAATGGGTTCAAACTACAGGAAAGGAGATTCCACCTGAATATGAAGAAGCATTCCTAACTGTGAGAGCTGTTCAGCAGTGGAACTCTCTGCCATGGAGTGTGGTGGAGGTTCCTTCTTTGGAGGCTTTTAAGCAGAGGCTGGATGGTCATCTATCGGGGGTGCTTTGAATGCGATTTTCCTGCTTCTTTGCAGGGGGTTAGACTGGATGGCCCCACAAGGTCTCTTTGAACTCTGTGATTCTAGTAGGCAAAACTTTCCAGCTTCCCAACATATGACCTCTGAATGGGAAGTGGAGAAGAGAAAATATGCAAGTTTTAAAACTCAGTTGCCTCAGTAATCACTCTCTCACAGTTCTTCTCTTTGAAACATTTGTACGACTAATAGCTAAATTGTTTTTTAAAACTCTATCCAGTCATTTTTTCCCCTATTGTATCTATAGCAGGAAACTGGTGTGACTGCCTTGTCTCAGCCTGTCATATGGTTTCGGGAAGCACACCTGCCTCCCCATCTAAGCCCCATACACAAAGGGGACAAGACCAACATGCCACTTTCTTGGCTTCTTTGCAAACCAAACCTATTATTTTTCATTTCTAAATGACCCTAATGCAAGCATGGGCAAACTTGGGCCCTCCCTCCAGGTGTTTTGTACTTCAACTCCCACCATTCCTAATAGCCTCAGGCCCCTTCCTTAAACAGATGAGGGCTGTTAGGAATTGTGGGAGTTGAAGTCCAAAACACTTGGAGGGCCCAAGTTTGCCCATGCCTGCCCCAATGAGTCATTTTGGATCTCTTTTGGAAAAGAAATCAAAAAATATCTCACCCACAAACAGGTGACCTTAGTCAGCAAGCCACATGTTTCTGAAGGAAGTGTTGATGATGTCCAGATCATCAATGATGATGATGTCCAGATCTGTCACTCCTTCTCACCTGTCACCAAGGAGGCTGTTCAGACCTTGAATCGGTGTTTAGCTGCTGTGTCGGACTGGATGAGAGCTAACAAATTGAAACTGAATCCAGACAAGACAGAGGTCCTACTGGTCAGTCGTAAGGCCGAACAGGGTATAGGGTTACAGCCTGTGCTGGACGGGGTTAAACTCCCCCTGAAGATGCAGGTTCGCAGCTTGGGAGTGATCCTGGACTCATCGCTGAGCCTGGAACCCCAGGTCTCGGCGGTGGCCGGGAGAGCTTATGCACAATTAAAACTTGTGCACCAGTTGCGCCCGTACCTTGGGAAGTCTGATCTGGCCACAGTGGTCCATGCTCTTGTTACATCCCAAATAGACTACTGCAACGCACTCTACGTAGGGTTGCCCTTGAAGACTGTTAGGAAACTTCAACTGGTCCAGCGAGCGGCAGTCAGATTACTCACCGGAGCGTCATACAGGGAGCATACCACCCCCCTGCTGTGTCAGCTCCACTGGCTGCCGGTTCAGTTCCGAGCACAATTCAATTTGTTCAGTTCCGAGCACAATTTGACCTACAAAACCCTGTATGGTTCCGGTGCAGTGTATCTGTCGGAACGTATCTCCCTCTACGTCCCACCCCGGAGTCTGAGATCATCTGGGGAGGCCCTGTTCTCGACCCCACCGCTATCACAAGTGAGGTTGGTGGGGACGAGGAGCAGGGCCTTCTCGGTGGTGGCCCCTCACCTGTGGAACTCATTCCCGGGAGAAATTAGGGCATCAACATCCCTCCTCTCCTTCAGGAGGAAAGTAAAGACGTGGTTGTGGGACCAGGCCTTTGGGCAATCTGACAACTAGATAAGGACAATCAAACGACTAGGACTGACAGGACTGACAAATGTGGAATTGGAATTTGGACTATGAGATAGTGAACGCTGACCGTCTATGAGGAGTAATTAGGTTTGTATTGTTTTATTGGTTTTACTGGTTTTAGGGTTGTAATGCAGGAATTGTTGTTTTAACTGTTCAACTGTTTAATTGATGTTATTTTGTTTACTACTGTTATATGATGATGGCATCGAACTGTGCCTTTGTAAGCCGCCCTGAGTCCCCTTCGGGGTGAGAAGGGCAGGGTAGAAGAAACCGAAATAAATAAATAATAAATTGGGGAAATGTCTGCGATTAAATATGTGACAAGAAAACGAAACTTCTTATGTAAGCAATGGCTGACATCCTGCCCAGCTTTTGTGGTGATGAAATCTAGAGCAGGGCTTCTTAGGATAGAATAGATCCACACTGCCATATAATCCAGTTTCTGAATGCAGATTGACTGCTTTAAACTGGATTACAGGATCTGAGTCTATACTGCTATATAATCCAGTTCAGTGTAGTTACTCTGAACGGCTGTTGAACTGAAAGAAACATGGAGAACCAATATTAACTCAGTAGTTCAGAATAAGGGCTGAATCATTTGATATACACATTAAACCTCTTCTCACTACTCCTGTGAAGGGAAAAACAGACTTTCACCGATTTTTTTTTAGTGCTGTTTGTGTTTAATTCTTTTTTAAGTTTTGTATATTTTCTATATTTTAAATTCTGTGCTAATGCTTTTATGTCATGCCACTTTGAGGCCCTTTGTTAAAGCACTGAGCTGCTGAACTTGCTGATCAAAAGCCGGCGAGTGGGGTGAGCTCCCACTGTTAATAATAATAAATCTTTATTTATACCCCGCTACCATCTCCCGCAGGACTCGGTGCGGCTTACAAGAGGCCGAGCCCAAAATACATCAGTTAACCCCAGCTTCTGCCAACTTAGCAGTTAGAAAACATGCAAATATGAGTAGATCAATAGGTACCACTCTGGCAGGAAGGTAACGGCGCTCTATGCAGTCATGCCTGCCACATGACCTTGGAGGTGTCTACGGAAACTGCCAGCTCTTCAGCTTAGAAATGGAGATAAGCACCAACCCCCAGAGTCAGACACAACTAGACTTAATGTCAAGGGAAAACCTTTATCTTTACCTTACAATAAATAATAATAGTAATAGTAATAATAACAACACATAGAAAAGAGCTTCAGGCTCACATTTTACACACACACACATCCATCCACTCTTCATGCATGCGTGACATGGGCTTCATCTAATTAACATTCATGTCCCGGCATTGAATGTTTGCTGTTTGTATGTTGTGCTCCGCCCTGAGTCCTCTTTGGGGTGAGAAGGGCGGAATAGAAAGGATTTTAAAATAAATGAATAGTGCAGTTTGACACAACTTTAACTGCCGTGGCTCAATGCTAGAGAATAATTGGAGATATAATTTTACAAGGTCTTTATCCTTCTCTGCCAAAGAATGCTGGTTCCTCGGGATCCAATGACAGTGATTGACAGCAGTAAAAGTAATGTCAAACTGCATTGATTCTGCATTGTCGGTGTACCCTGAGAAATATAAATGAGTAAAGGCTCATCTTGGGCCCCTTCCACACAACTGTATAACCTCCACACTGAACTGGATTATATGGCAGTGTGGACTCAGATAACCCAGTTCAAAGCAGACATTGTGGATGACCTGCCTTCATATTCTGGGTGATAGGGCTGTGTGCATGGGCCATTAGGGATGCACATAATTGTGGGAACAGCCCTGCAGCCTCATTTCTGTTTTCCCTATCACAGAATGAGTACACAGAATGAGTACAACATGCTGCCACACTACTAATGCACAAGAGACAGACACACAAAAACTGTGCGACACTTAATATAGTTTCAGAGAGTGAAGTGTAATCTTCTTGCCCTTCTCTTAATATCCGCAAGTCTTTCGCGAGCATGTGCAGAATCACCCCACTGTGGAATCTGTGCAGTTCCCTTTCATCAAATTTGGGGACACGACACTTGCGACTGGGCGCATGCGCACAATTCACACCGCGTTCAGAACAAGAAACACCCTTTCCTTGGTCTTTCGGGGGAAAGGTACACTTTTGGTGGAAAATCAGACTCTGTTCCGTGCAGGGATTAGTATTACTGTATTGTCGAAGGCTTCATGGCCGGAATCACTAGGTTGTTGTAGGTTTTTCTGGGCTATATGGCCATGTTCTAGAGGCATTTTCTCCTGACGTTTCGCCTGCATCTATGGCAAGCATCCTCAGAGGTAGGGAGGTCTGTTGGAACTAGAAATATATATCTGTGGAATGACCAGGGTGGGACAAAGGACTCTTGTCTGCTGGAGCTAGGTGTGAATGTTTCAACTGGCCACCTTGATTAGCATTTGATGGCCTGGCAGTGCCTGGAGCAATCTTTTGTTGAGAGGTGATTAGATGTCCTTGTTTGTTTCCTCTCTGTTGTTTTGCTGTTGATTTTAGAGTTTTTTTTAATACTGGTAGCCAGATTTTGTTCATTTTCATGGTTTCCTCCTTTCTGTTGAAATTGTCCACATGCTTGTATTTTTCAATGGCTTCTCTGTGTAGTCTGACATGGTGGTTGTGAGAGTGGTCCAGCATTTCTGTGTTCTCAAATAATATGCTGTGTTCTCAACCCACCCTGGTCATTCCACAGATATATAAACCTCTTTTTCCTAGTTCCAACAGACCTCACTACCTCTGAGGATGCTTGCCATAGATGCAGGCGAAACGTCAGGAGAGAATGCCTCTTAGAACATGGCCATATAGCCCGAAAAAACCTACAACAACCCAGCTTAGTATTACCTTCAGTCTTCGGCGACTACGCATGCGCAAAAGTTAGACTGCAATTATCCCCTTAGGAGTCGGAAAACGATGTCTAGTACGCATGCGCAAGAAGAATGCGGGCCTTACTTTCCTTCACGTTCGCTACTGCGCATGCGCTCTTTGTAAGCATTTCCCCCCCCCCCCCCCTTCCAATCGTAGTAGTCAAGATGGCGGCACCCACAAGACTCCACGATTGGTAGAGAGTGCGGCACCTTCCTTCCTTGGCGTTTCAGAGCCTGCCCGGCCGCCCGATGCTATCGCTGGGCAGCGGCAGGTTGGGAGGCCGCTTAGCGGCGGCCCCGATCTCCAGAGCCTGGTTCCAGGGCCCAAGGAAGGAATCCTCCTCGTCCCGATGTGACGTCAGCGGAGTGACGTATGACGTGGTCGTCATCGGCGGCGGGCACGCGGGTGCGGAAGCGGCGGCGGCGGCCGCGAGGGGCGGAGTCAGGACCCTGCTGGTGACGCACAAGGCGGGCGCCATCGGTAAAAGAAGCACCAGGGGTCCCTCATACTATAAAACCTGTGGGTTACAGGGACCATCATACATCCTACTGCAGCCTTAGGGAATCCTTGACTCTTTTGTCATCTTCCAGACTAGCTATAGTCACAAAAGATATAGGTTAAAGGTAAAGGTTTTCCCCTGACATTAAATCCAGTCGTCTCCGACTCTGAGGAGTGGTACTCATCTCCATTTCTAAGTCTAAGGGCCGGCATTCTCCGTAGACACCAGCATGACTGCACGGGGCGTTATACACTAGACCTCCAGTTAACTGCAACCAGAACTCACAAGCAACCAGCCAAAAAATTAAAAACTTTACACACAAAATAATCCAGATACTATTTTTTAAAACATCTTACAAATGCCACCTCTCAGCATCTTGAACCAAAAGGAAGGGGTTGAATCCCATCGCAGCTATAATGTGTAAGACTATTGCTTATGTTCATGCCTTTAATTCACCTGTAGTACATAGCATTAGGCATTTACTTTGCTTATGCAACACTCGGGTTCTCAATAGGATGCAACTCTATGGCCAACATGGGATACAGAAATAGGGCTGAACTTAGGTGATCCCCCAGTGGTGCAGTGGGTTAAACCTCTGAGCTGTTGAACTTGCTGACCAAAAGTTTGGTGGTTCGAATCCAGGGAGTATGGTGAGCTCCCTCTGTTAGCCCCAGCTTCTGCCAGCCTAGCAGTTCAAAAATATGCAACTGTGAGTAGATCAATAGGTACTGCTTCAGCAGTAAGGTAACAGTACTTCATTCAGTCGTGCTGGCTACATGACTTTGGAGGTGTCTATGGACAACGCCAGCTCTTTGGCTTATCAATGGAGATGAGCACCAACCCCCAGAGTCGAGCATGACTTTACTTGATGTCAGGGAAAAACTTTTACTTTTACCTGAGTCAGAGATTTTGCTCCATCGTATGCCTACTGAAATAATATTTCTTGGCATATAACAGGATTGGAGACAGTTTTGTCTGCCAGATGTTGGACTGCAGGTTCCATCAGCTGTAACTAGCACTTCCAATGATGTGGGTTGCAGTCCATTGGCATCTAGAGGACCACACTGGTTCACTGGTGGCATAGCAGATTTGCTGAACTTGATGACAAACTTGATGCAGTTTGAATCCGGGGAGCGGGGTGAGGTCCCACTGTTAGCCCCAGCTTCTGCCAACCTAGCAGTTTGAAAACATGCAGATGTGAGTAGATCAATAGGTACTGCTTCTGTGGGAAGGTAACCGTGCAATATGTAATCATGCTGACCACATGACCTTGAATGTCTACGGATGAGGCTTAGAAATGGAGATGAGCACCACCTCCCAGGCTCAGACACAACTAGACTTAATGTCAAGGAAAAACATTTACCTTTATCTAATACTTTAAACAAAAAGTAATGTCTATAATACAATAAAATCACTTTTTATTATACAGTAAAACTGCTACATTAAGTTTATCTGTATTTGATTTTAATTACTGAATTTCAATATCAATTCACGGTATATTATGAGTTAGATCTATTTTAAATAGTAACTCTCAGGTTTACCACTTGCAAAAGAATAATTTTTAAAAACTTTGTTTACATCCCACCACACTAAAATTACATTTTAACTAGAATAATACAACCAGATTTAAAATTGTTAGATTAATAACAAAATTAAAAACATGAAAATTTAAAGGATATAAACCAGAATAGCAACCATTTCTATCTTCCAAACCATTTTGTTTATGCTGAATATTTCATATTTCCTCCTCTCTGTATGCTTACAAGCCTAATAAAGTTTTAATTGTTTTTAAGAAGCAAGCAAGGAGGGGGCCATTTTGATTTCCTTAGGGAGGGAGTTCCAGAGGTGGAGGGCGACTGCGAAGAAGGCCCTTTCTCTCGTTCCCACCTGCCGTACCTGAGATTGGGCTGGGACTGAGAGCCGGGCCTCATCTGCTGAACACAGTGCCCGGGCAGGCTTGTATACTGAGATGCGCTCAGCCAAATAGTCTGGCCCAAACCATTTAGGGCTTTAAAGGTAATAACCAGCACTTTGTATTTTGCCTGGAAACAAGCAAGCCATATTTTTATAGATAATTTTAACTGTTCAACGTGTTATTTATGATTCTTGTGATTTATATGTTTTAGCCAAGGTGTTTAATTTGTTTATTTTTAACTGTCTGTTTTATTGTGTTATTGCACGTGGCATTGAATGTTTGCTATTTTTCGCCTTTGGAAGTCACCCTGAGTCCCTTTGGGGAGAGAGGGCAGGTTAAAAATAAAGATGATCATGACGATCCATTGTAGCTGCCATAACATGGGAGTTGTTCTCTTCAGTGGATGAGTTTGGCAAGGGTTCCCTTGTGCTTTTGCTCTGCTGGCTGCTGTTGTTCAGTCTCCATATAAGTCACTAGACCCCACATCAACAGCATCAAAGAGATCCTTGGCTGTAATGCTGTTGGTCAGTGTTTGTACTATGGGTGAGACTACCAAAAAAGACCTAATAGTTACACTTTTAGGCAGGTATTTGTATAACAAAAATCAGTTTTCAAAGAAATCGTTTTCATCCTTCCTGGATATTCATATGTTAACAGGTGCCCCCACTAAATACTAATCATATCTTTTTAAATTGAAGCAATTTGCATATTGATAAATACTACCAATTTATAGCTTGCTGCAGTTCTGTATAATTCACCAAAGTGTAGTAGTTCCACTTCTAGAACTATGCCATGTTTAACCTCTACCTCATTGCCTCTACCCAGCCACTCAATGCTTCAAGGGGAACAAGCAGGATGAGAGAAACTGACTATATTCCTGGAGCCAGCCGCAAAATGATTACATCAGTACTAAGATCCACAGGGTCCTTTGGGCCACTGCCACTGAAATGATTTTGCTTCTGGGTACAGAGACACTTCCAATAGCTTGTTTATCATGTTTTCCTTTACTTTTCATCCTGTCCAGGACAGATGTCATGCAACCCTTCCTTTGGTGGAATTGGGAAAGGACATCTGGTGAGAGAAGTGGATGCCTTGGATGGCCTTTGTGCTAGGATCTGTGACCAGTCTGGAGTGCATTACAAAGTGCTAAACAAGGGCAAGGGCCCAGCGGTCTGGGGTCTCCGGGCTCAGATTGACCGGAAGCTCTACAAAGAGAAGATGCAGGTGAGAATACAGAGAAGCACATAGAGAGGCAGATGACTTTGCCAGATGAGAAGGGCAGTTAGGCAAATGTGTAAGAAAAGAGGAATGTTATCCAATATTAATTCCCAGGCAGTGAAATATCACAGGCCTGTTCTTTATACCAGTTATCCTGAAAGACCTTTTCAGAAGCGGTTTTTTAAAAAAATATATAGTGGCAAAGATTTGTGACTAATATTTGGGGGACATCTGTGTTTCTTTGTTTTAACAGGTTCTTGAAGAAATTGTAAAATTACAATTTCCATGATATCATTGCATTTAGCTATACCTGTTCAAGTCGTGTCAAACTGCACCACTTGAAATGGCTTTTGTAGTAATGTTGATGTTTTTGATGAGGATGTTTTTTTGATAATGATGAATTGTGGATTATTTTACACTATGTCTTGTATTTTGCACCTGTTTTTCTATGTTGTACACCGCAATGAGTCACCCCTGGGCTGAGAATTGCGGTATATAAGCGAAGTTAATTAATTAATTAATTAATTAATTAATTCTGCGGTGTAGCTGCACCCAGAACCATACTCTCACAAATGAAATGTTTCTTGCTATGCTTAATAAGCCTGAACTTTATAGGAGAAGAGTGTAATGGAGAAAACGATTTCAGGTTCATTGCTACAGAAAAAGGATGTGATTAAATATAGGCCAGGCCAGAACCAAATCTGATCTGATTTCATTTGTTTATGCCATATATTTATTGAAAAATGCCATGCCTAACTTGGTGGTAGCGCTGAATTTTAGTGCAGAAAAGAGAGAAGATAACATGAACTGAACAGAATCCTAGCTAAATAATATTTGAAATTTGTATTAATTTTAGCAAATGCAACAATTGGAAACCAACTGTTCTGGCAATAGCAAAACTGTTATAAAAGATGTAGACAACAGCAATAAAATAATAGCTAACTTATCTAAGAACCCATTTTGATACACACAAAAAAGGTATGGGCAATGCAATATCAGTAGTTTTTTGTTTAGAATACAGTAATAATTGCTTTGAAAACACCCATGGTTTTTTTTCCTGATTTTGAGGAAGTCCTAACACTGATGTCACCTTGTTTTTATTTTTGTATGTTACCTTATAACAAGAAGTTGGTAAAGTATCATAAAATCACTTCCAAACTAAAAGTAATTAAGCCTCAGCCCAGCAGCCAACCATTCTCAACCAGGTTCAGCAGGTGTCTTTTTAATAGGTAAGGGCTTATTTGATAAGAGTGTCACACAGTTTAGACTCAGTTTGAACAGATGAATTAAAATGGAGCACTCAATTTTGGTTTCTAAAAGGAATGCTTCTTTTGGTGCACCATTAGATAGTAATTTCCTCAAAAAAAATGTCCAGGGCTAGCCATTGCTTCTGTTTTGAATCTGTACTGGGTTGAACCCTGAGCCAATGCTGGTCCTACTGTATAGAAACTTTCCATCTTCCAAGAAATACATTATGAAAAACAGTTTGAGAAAGTTAAAAAGAAAAAAAGCCTGACTCATCCCTTCAAACAAGCTACTCTTCTGTTTTCTTATTGACCAAATCAGCACTTTTAATGAGAGAATTTTGAAAAAAGGAAATATGTAGTTTCTGTTCTTTGTAAATGTTCGTGAGGAGAAAGAAGTCTGCATCCATCTCAGTTCAAACATCTGTCCTTATATTAACAATGGAGGATTGTATATAGCATTTCGTCTTTCAAAGGTTTATTACTTAATTCATGTTTTTGTTTAATAATGCATCTGTTATTTTTTTCAAAATTCAATAAACATCATGTGGGAAAAACAAAGAAAGAAGAAATGCTTAAACAAGTGCATAACAAAAGCTGTTATCATCTACATCCTACTTATTTTCAGGTAGAAACAATCAAACCCTTCATATGTCTTCATTTATCTGCCCATCACTTTTCTATAGGGCAGTGGTTCTCAACCTGTGGATCTCAGATGTTTTGGCCTTCAACTCCCAGAAATCCTAACAGCTGGTAAACTGGCTTGGATTTCTGGGAGTTGCAGGCCAAAACACCTGGGGACCAACATGTTGAGAACCACTGCATAGGATAATGCCCGAAATGTATCACAACATAGCCAGTAAATAGCAGTAAGCTCTCTCTTTCACACACACACATATACGAGCACTTTGAAACAAATATAATACGAATAACTAAATACACAATAAAAATAACAGTGCATATCATTTTATATAAAACAATGTAGACTCCAATGGCTAAGAAGAACACAGGAAGGGAAATAAAACTTGTCACCTGAATACTTGAATAAAAGGCCTTAAATAAAGGTTTAAAGAGTGAATTGTGGGTTGCTGTATGATATTTTAAAAGTTTTATGTGTTTTAAGTGCATTTAATTGCTTGTATGTATATTTTTTATTAAATATTTGTATGTTGTGGATTTTAACTTGCCTTGTTTTCTGTTGGTGTCATGAGCTGCTTTACGTTTCAGTTAAGATATAAAAGTTGGACATAAAATAATCACACACATACATATAAACAGCTGCATTAAATTAAAGTTGCCCTTAGATGATTAATTCACAGACTAAATCAAAGCTTTTTCACAGATAGAACATTTCCTGAACAGAGTTTTGGGGACTGGTCACACTATACCATTATAACACTGTAATACCATTTTAATTGCCACCTGTTCTATGGAATATTGGGATTTGGAGGGACGATTTCACAGTAAGAGACCTCTAGTGCCTCCCCAGACTACCACGCCTATCATTCCATGGGATGCAGCTTTAGAAGCTGAAATGGAGCAATAGTGCCAAATGAAAGGCCACTGCTCAGAATATTCCTGGCCACTGAAAATATTAAATGTAATTTATATCAATTGCCCTTTTATTTTCAGCCCTGACATCAGTTCCCTCCCTTTTCCTAATCCTCAAAATGGTTTTGGGCTAGCATACAGATTGCAGGGGGAGGCAGAATCTAAAGGCAATCCCTACATTGGATAAGAAGCTTCTAATTGATGGAAGGACCTCTTCTCTGCAGATCTGGAAGCTAAGCAGGGCTTCCCATTACAGTTAATTTGAGGTTGAATTTGGCATGAATGGTTCTCACTGTTTTTACCATCCTACAAAAACATTTGCCTTCCTCATTTTTATCTTTGAGCCAATTGCAAAGATTCCGAACTGACTCAAGATCACCAAGTTAGCTTCAGGGCCAAGTGAGAATTGGAACCCAGGCCTTCACAGTTCTAGGTCCTAATTAATTATGCAGTCTTAATTGGCTTTCAAACCAAAGTCTAAATCTAACTTTATTATTGATGCTAAAATGTAAATCTGGAGAAGAAAGCTGGGTACAAATAAAAATAATAGATGGATTAAATAATAACAATAAATAAATAAATAATGGATTTATTAATGTTAATAAGTGGCATAAATAAATGAAAAAATGTTAAATCTTAATAGCACATAGAAATTGACATTTCTGAAAAATAGAAATTGATTGTAAGGAATAATCTTAAAAAATAATCAGAGAATGGATTTTCACTTTCACATGGCTTGTGTAAAATCAGTTTTCCCTGATTGGAAGGAGTTGTTGTTTCTGAGTGTCTGTTTTTTCCTTCTGTGTTTCCTCATTCTTAAAAGGTCTTGTCTGTGTGTATGTCTGTATTCGTTTTAACAGTTCTCATTTTCCTAGTAGAAAGAAATTCTCCAAATCCCACATCTGACAGTCTGTGAGGCATCTGTGGAAGATCTTCTGCTTAAAGAGCCAGAGTTGGATCACCCGGGGAAATGTTGCGTCAGTGGAGTCATTCTGGGTCAGTACTCAGGGATTTGGTTGCCTCTGGGAGCACTAGTCTCCCTCTACTTGTAGGGGGAGGGATTATGGGCACAACTACACTATAGGATTGGTTCAGTTTAACACCACCACCATAACTGCCACATCTAAATCCTATAGACTCATAGGAGTTGTGGTTTTACAAAGTCTTTAGCTTTCACCGCCAAAGAGTGCTGATGATTCAACAAAGTACAATTCTCAGTATTCCACAGCATTGAGCAATGGCAGCTAAAATGGTGCTAAACTGCATGAATTTTACATTTTGAATACTGAATACCGAATTATTTCCGGGAAGTAACTCAGTTCATTTCTAAATCAATTCAGTTGGACCCTTGGGGCTCTCCTAATCACTGCTTCCAAATAATACAATTGTGATATTTGTCCTTAATGAATTAGTGTCCAAATTTGTACCCATCGGTAGAAATGACCCAAGCTTGAAAAGCCTTCGACAATACACAAAACAGAACGTTGCCACTTTCTCTGTAATTGGATCAGCAGATGTGCTAGATTTAGCTCTTGTTTCTTTGGTGTTTTCTCTTCAGAAGATGGAAGGAAAGTGCACGCCAGCAGTGTTGTTCTGACTACAGGGACATTTCTGAGAGGAATGATCCTAATTGGGCTCGAGACCTATCCTGCTGGGCGGATGGGAGACCGGCCCTCCATTGGCCTTGCTCAGACTCTGGAGAGCCTTGGCTTTTCCCTTGGAAGGCTAAAGACCGGGACCCCACCGCGACTGGAGAAGGAGTCCATTGATTTCAGTGGCCTGGAGCAACAAACAGCCGACAGCTCTCCTGTGCCCTTCAGCTTCCTTAGTGAAGCGGTCTGGATTAAGGTGGGATAAAGCACTGAGGAATGTATGCAGCCGATGGAGTTATGTGACAGCTTTTTCATGTCTCTCTTTTCCTCTGCATCTCTGTGGAGGTTAATTACATCATTCTAACATCTTCATCTTCCACACAAGAGTATTTTTCCATATTGAAACAGATATTTGAAAACATTATCCTTATGTGCTGAACTTCTAGAATAATGTAATTAACATCCACAGAGACACAGTGGGAAAGAGAAAGATGAAAAGGCACTCACATAAACTACATCAGCATATTAAGAGGAGATCTGTTTCCAAATGAAAAATTTCCAAGTACTCTTGTGCGGAAGATGGGGGTGCACAGTTGAGAATCACTTTGTCACGTTGTTGCTGAGTATTATAAGAGCTGTCTAGAAATACCTTCCTAGAGCTATATTGACTGTTTTCGCCCGATTGTCCCCCACAGGCTTTAAATAATAGTATCAAATCCTGTGGAGCTTTGAAACAACTTAAGAAGAACTTTATGCACAAAAGCTCATACACCAAACCCAGATAGTTCTTATTTTGTTTCAGCCAGAAGATCAACTGTCTTGTTATATGACTTACACCAACCCCAAAGTGGATCAGATCATCCATGATAATCTTCACCTGAACAGCCATGTCAGAGAGACAACAAAAGGACCCCGGTAAGCTTCTTTTACATTTGTCATATGTGAAGTGCTGGCAAAATACGTGACTCTTAATAGAGTAACCTAAAAAAGATAAGTTGGAGCTCCAAGAGGCTTACAAATATTGATACAATAAGGAAAGAAGGGATGTAAAGACAGCAGAAATGCCACTGTGGCAAATTCCAGGGTGTTTCAAATCAATGGATCCAGTTTGAAATCACTATATCTCTGCAACCATGAACCACTCATGAATGAACCTCCTACCACTTGAAATGGTGGGGCATAGAGCTTCGAATGATTCCTGCTAGATGCCTCTCCCAAGCACAAACAGCCTCTGGCCTCAGTCATTTGCAAGAAGGTGATCCCGCACCAGAAAGGCCTAATGAGTTAATCTCAATTTGCAGAGAAACATTTACATTTGTTTCTGGCTCAAAATGGTTTAGTTAAACTTGATAACCCATTTTTGTGCAATTGCACATCTTGCCATCATGAAATATACTACTTTTAAATTGTGTCCTTCATTTTGAATTACCCTGTATATTCCAAAAAGCATCTGAAAACACAGTTACATGCTACTAGAGGAAATCAATCTTTCAATAAGATATGTGTATTGGTTGTTCTGTAGAATTGGACTTCTGACGCATTGCTGCTAGGAAGTTTCCTTTTGGATGTTATGTCCCTTGACTCCTGAAGACCTTCTGTAAAGCTTTTGCCATGGCTAAGGAGCTGGTATCAGGGAGCAGTAGCAAGTCTTGGCTCTGCTCCATTTTCAGCCCCAGGCCTCTGCCAGCATTCAGTCTCTGCCATTTTTTTGGAAGATCATAAAACTACTTTTAGACTTTTCGTCTTTTCAGCATCCTGACTTGGCCAGTTATTTCTTTGCCTAGGTACTGTCCCTCACTTGAGTCCAAAGTTTTGCGTTTCCCAAATCGTGTTCATCAGGTTTGGCTCGAGCCTGAAGGTCTGGATTCCCATGTCATCTACCCTCAGGGATTGTCCATGACGTTGCCCTCTGAGATCCAGGAGCAGCTCATCACCCACATTAAGGGTTTGGAAAATGCTAAAATCATACAGCCAGGTTAGTGGCATGAAGAAAGTGAACATTATCTGGTCATTGAGCCATATAATCACATTATCTTTATTTACTAGCTCTAAATGCATTACTTATTCTTTGCAAGCCCTGAAGAACAGATGCTTCTACACCCAACACATACAATCTGAATTAGATGAAGGGTGGTATATAAATGTGGGACTTGTTTCCAAATGGTACCAAATCCATCTGAACAAATTGTATAGATATAAAAAACATGCTGATGATATACATTCTTCAGCTATAAAATGCAAATTTCCAAGCCTTGTACTGAAGTGATTTGATACACTTTGATAGTTTTGAACTGTACATAATATTTCGACAATGTGCTGTTGCCTATAATTCATTATTTAATTTTTTTTATTTTGTACCTTTTTGAAACAAACTCCACAAATGTTCTCAGTAAATAAATGAACATAATGTGATGTATCAATGTTACTCTTGTAATATGTTGCTCTTAGGGGTAATGAGGCAGCACTGTTGATTTTAAAAATACTGTAATAACTAATAAAAGGTAAAGATTTCCCCTTGACATTGACTCTAGTCATGTCAAACTCTGAGTAGTAGTGCTCATCTGCATTTCTAAGCTGAAGAGGTGGTGTTGTCTGCAGACGCCTCCAAGGTCATGTGGTCGGCATGACTGCATGGAGTGCCATTACCTCCCCACTGTACCTATTGATCTACTAACATTGGCATATTTTTGAACTGCTAGGTTGGCAGAAGCTGGGCCTAACAACGGGAGCTCACCCCGCTCCCCAGATTCGTACCACTGAGCTTTCAGTCAGCAACTTCAGCAGCTCAGCGGTTTAACCCACTGTGACACCAGGGGCTCCTCATAAAAACTAATCGCATTTCTGAATATTTTGGGATGTGTAACTTTGTAGACATATGAGTGTTTTGATTTATCAAGCAAAGCTTTCCCTCAATGACAATTTTATCAATTTTCCTTGGTCTAGGCTATGGAGTCCAGTATGATTACCTGGATCCGCGTCAGCTGAGTGCCTCCCTGGAGTCCCGTCTCATTCAACGCCTCTTCTTTGCAGGGCAGATAAATGGCACCACTGGCTATGAAGAAGCTGCAGCTCAGGTGAATAAACAAGGGGATGTTTATAGCAAAAAGTGGATAACAATTGTTAAAAGAATTTGGTGCTACAAAAATTTAATCACTAACCAGCAGGGATGGAGACATCAGGAAGTAATAGAAGGTGGACAGAGAGAGAGAAGTGAAAGGAATGGCAGATGAGATACATGTTTTTATAACTGTCCTTCATTTTTGATCTGTTTTAAACATATCAGAGAAAGAGCAAGGCTTTTCAGTATGAATCCCCAGCAGATCTGAAATCTTCTGTTCAGGAGCCATGGCAAAGTTTCACAGATCCAGTTTTCAAGATGTCTTAGTGCCATCAGGCCTCCAAATCAATATTATTCTGAGAATAGGTCCAATAAAGACGATCCTGAACAGGCCACTTCAAGGAAGCAAGCAGAGGTTTCAGGAAAAGGACCACAGTAGGAAACTTGGCCAAGATCTTCAAGGAAATAATAATATAATAATACTTTATTTGTACCCCACCCTATCTCCCCTAGGAGATGCTATGAGTCGGTGTGTAATTTTTAATGGTTTTAATTCATATTTATATGTTATTGATTTAATTATGTTATGTATTGCTTTTATATGTATGTTCGGCATTGAATTTTTGCCACTTTACCATGGCAAATTACTCTGAGTCCCCACAAGGATGAGAAGAGCGCCATAGAAATACAATAAATAATAGGGGGCTCAGGGTGGTTTCCAATAAAAGATGCAAACATTCAATGCCAATAATGTGCAAACAACAGATAAACTAAAAAAAAACCCCTAAATAATCACAATATAAAAATAATAGCTAATTCCAAAGGGACATGAAATTATCAAAATTAATGACTTAAATAAACAAATTGTAATACATCACAAACATTTACCACATAATTAATTAACAGTTAAAAGCATTAAAATATAGAAAAAGGAGTGTCGCACAAAAAGAGGGTGAAGATGAGCATTGAGTTCAAGGGATCACAACCAGTTAATGTGCCTTCAAATTGTCTGTCAATTTATGGCAACCCTATGAATTTTATAGCATTTTCTTAGGCAAGGAATGCTTAGTGGTGGTTTTACCTATTCCTTTCTCTGGAATATAGCTTATAATGTCTGATACTCATTGGCTATCTCTCATTCAAGTACTAAGTTAGATTGACCCTGCTTAGTTTCCAAGATCGGTTATAGTAAAAACAATTCAATTGGCACTTTAATGAAATATTTTGGGTGCACAAAGTGGAAGGTGATTGCATGCAGTTTTCTAAATAGGTATTAATTTGAATGTCATGCTAGGATGGTTTTGCATGGTGTGAGTTGATGCTTCCTTACAGCAGCATTTAATAGTGCCAGGTTACAAACAAAATAGGTTCTGTAAGTTTATTCTTAAGCTGAATTTGTATATAAGCCTGAATAGGAACATTTGTTAAGTGTAAATTCAGCCACACACACGTGTGTGTGTGTGTGTATATGAGAGCTTTGGATAACATAGGGAAGGGTTAATACCACTGTAGTGTTTGTTTTGCTGTCTGTGTTCAGAAAATTTCACCTCACTTTCGATCTCTGTGATAATTGGATTTTGAAAAAATGGCTTGTTTTAGAGGATTGGTGATAAAGCTTCAGTGAGACACCTTTTCCCCATGATAACTCTTCCAGGAGTGAATTATCCTTCCAAGGAGTAGATATTTCTCAATTCCTGTTGTTGTATCCCTGTAGGATCATATGTAAGTTGGATGTTTGTAACTTGGGGGCTGCTTGTATTATGTTGTGGGTTTTGAAACTCTATGCTACTTTCCTTCCTGACACTAATGGACCCAGAGCTACTGCATAACTTGAACAAGTCAAGATCTTGGGGCTTGCATGCATAGGCTGACTCCCTTGTACCTCCTGTCACTTTTTGCTCTCTGGTGCAGGGTATTATTGCTGGCATCAATGCTGGCCTACGGGTCAAAGGAAAGCCTCCCTTTGTAGTTAGCCGTACCGAGGGTTACATTGGAGTTTTGATCGACGACCTCACCACACTTGGTACCAATGAGCCATACCGGATGTTCACAAGCCGCGTGGAGTTCCGGATGTCCCTGCGCCCAGATAATGCAGACAGCAGGCTCACATTCCGAGGCAAGTCTGTCGTACTAGCTACCGTTCGCCTTCACAGAACTCTTGCCTTCCTTCTCCTCTCAGAGCTTGGAACTGTTAGTTTTTCAGGCTTCAGTTTCTACATGGGTTGAGAGGAATTCTGGGGAGTACGGTTCAAGATGACATTGCTGCTCCGCAGTTTTTCATGTTTCTTTTCCTCTTCCTTCTTTTTTGGTGTGCGTGTTTCTTTTCAGGTTATAATGAAGCTGGCTGTGTGTCCCAACACCGATATGAGCAAGCAGCTCAGATGAAAGCAATGATAGAAGAAGGAATTGAAGCCTTGAAATCGATTCAGTTGAGCAGCACAAAATGGACTCAGCTTGTTCCAGAGGCCGCCATAAGTACCCAGCGTTGTTCACCGAGCAGGTATAGATACTTCTTTGTTAGAGGAAGCAACCTTCTCAAGCCTCCTCTATATGGTTTTTGTCTGTTTTATAATGCGTCGTTTAATAACCTGAAGTATATGTCTGCAGTTTGCAGTTTCCTTATCTCTATATA